GTGATCAGGCAATTTGATTCTATATTCCATGTGCATTAGAAGAGGTGCTTGCTAAGTGGCTCTTGTGGTGATCAGTTTGAGCCCGAATGAGCTTAACAGGGACTGTCGATACATGTTTTCGTCCCTCTGCAGAATTAGATTTTCTGGGAATCAAACGAAGATATGTCCTACTGCGACTAATGTCAAATCCTATTTTACGTAATTCTTGTGTGAGTTCATCAAGGGTTTTTACGCTGCGAATTGATTCCGTTCGTCTTCTATCATCTGCTGCACTCCCAAATAAAGCTATATCCGCGATTGTTTTCAATAGTGAATGTTGATTGCTTTCAAGATTAGGACGTCTCACCGAATCCCTCTTTTTTTTTATTTCTAGATTTTCATGACAAATGTCTTCTAACTTTCTTTTCATACCATCCCTGTGTTTCTTCTGGGAAACTGCGTTTTGAACCTTCCCGTTCAAAGGCTGTTTTGCAGTTTTTATTTCCTCGCGCAACTTAATGATCTGTTTATGAACTTCAGCACGGCTTGGCATAGTATATCTGGCAGAATACAAAGCATTCAGATTTTTTTCGAGTAGACCAATCTTATTTTTCATAGCTTCCTGAGAAGGTTTTACTCTCTGTTTATCTGTATTTTCATTAATTTCGCATTGCTGTTGTGATTCATTACCAGGTTTTATTTTATCTTCTTCCTCTTTTGTAGTATTTGAAGCTGACTGTATAACTTGTGTTTTTTCTGCAGGTTTACAGGTTGCCTAAAAATAAAAACTTTCTATGGCTACAGATTCTCTTATTAAGCTACATAAATACAAAGTATAGCAATATATATATATGGTAAATACAAAACCCTATGGCTTTAAATCTAATATGTTTAAACGAGCAATTCGTTCCGGTCACAAAATACAGGGTGTTAGTTTTCTGTATATATGTATAAAACTAACATCCTGTACTTTGTGACCAATTGACGGAATCAATCATAAGAAATAAATCTATAATATAATAAATATTACCTCTATACTTTGAGATAGGCCATAATATTTTCTAATCAGTAAAGAGAAACTTTTTTGCGATTTCTAATATTTCTAGTACTCATAGGTAGGTACCTACCTAAAATGATTTCGTCACTCACCTTAGAAAAAAAAATTAGTAGATTGGATTTATTCTTAGTCGCCGCTTGCAGGTCTTCTTCGATTCTCTTAGATACAATAATATCTAGTTCCTTGTCGGATTTTGCTTGTAATTTGTAATTTCGCCACACTTCGTTAACTAACTTTTGTACTTTCGTACTTGTATAAGATTTTTTAAAACTTTCAAACCATTTTTGGTATAACTTGGATTTGTCTATGTGAAACGACATCTTATTTAAACATTAAACTTTGCCCAGTGGAATCAATGGTAACACAAATGTTAACTTGCTTTACTATGCTTACAATACGTCTACTCGCTATAGTATCCAAATGAAACAATACACTGATAGAGGAAATTTAGACAAGTGAACACCGCGCGGTAATTCCCCTACTCGCTTTAGAACCGAGTAGGGGAATTACCGCGCGCTGTTCACTAAACGTATGCATTATTTGCGGGAATCCCCGAAAATGCATTTCGTTTTCAAGCAAAGACAATGTAAGGGTTGCCATTCGTGTAAAAAAGTAAATAACTACCGATGCCGTAATCATCATCTAGACTCCCCTACCCCCCATGTCATCCAAAATAAGCAACGCAAAGAACCCCCCGCCCCCCATAGTGCTCACGTAATACTTGAACGGCCCCATATTTAGTATGACAGTCTCTGTTACTAGTCCATTTGCGTTATTTTGTTTCTCCTTTCTGAAAACGAATCTATGCTTGATCGTAATTTTGGTGAACGATTTTTTCGCATGTAGAGCGGGTATGTTCATCTGAACATGGTAACACATTCCGTGTGCATTGCATCAGTGGGATCTCTTCGAGACTGCTGGTCAGCTGTGCAATGTTTTAGTGCTGTGTATGAATTTCCGGTGGACGAGCAAAACGTCAAACGACGTTCTTCCTCCTTTCCGGGCAGCTTGCCACCGGGTTTGGAGGTTGAGTTGACCCCAAAATTTCACCACATACCACAACCGGATAGCCGCGGGATGGTGTTAACGCGGGAGAAACTTAACAAAGGTGACACCTCAAAGCGGATAGATTATTTATTAGCTCAGTGGTTGAAATTGAGGAGACATAGAAATTCCAATGCTTCTTAAAACACATTATCAGGGCAATGTTCTGTCACTAACTGGTTATTACCACCAAATACAGGGTTTGTCCGGAAAGTAATAGGACTGAGTCGATTTAAAAAAATTATTGAGACAATCGTTACAATTCTTTAAAAACTTAGGCTCCCGGAAGGCATTCTCCGGAATAGCCTTGAGAGTCGCGGTGCATGCTGCTTGGATCCCCTCTGTCTTCACAAAATACTTGCCTTCCATCGGCCTTTTCAGGCGATGAAACAAAAAAAGTCCGGGGGCCACATCTGGGCTGTAGGGCGGCTGCGGAAGCGTTGGGATGCCGGCTTTGGTCAGGTAGCTGTTCACAAGAAAGGCGGTTTGAGCCGGGGCGTGGTCGTGGTGCAACTTCCAGTCGGCTGCGATGTCTTGTCGGACCCGACTGACCCTTCGTTTGAGTCTCCTAAGCACTTCCACGTAAAACTTGGCGTTGACGGTTTGTCCAGGAGGAACAAATTCATGGTGGACGATGCCTTTGATGTCAAAAAAGACAATGAGCATCGTTCTCACTTTGGATTTGCTCATTCTTCCCCTTTTTGAGCGACGAGACGCCGTCGTGTGCCACTCGGAAGATTGCCTATTTGTCTCGAGATCATACTCAAAGATCCACGACTCGTCACCTGTGATTACGTTATTCAAAAATTGGGGGTCACTTTCAGACATGTTCAAATTTTCTTGGCACACTTCCACTCGCCGCAATTTCTGGTCGTCAGTGAGCACTTTTGGACCATCTTCGCGCACACCTTGCGCATGTTCAAATGCTGTGTCACAATGTCATGAACCACAGATTTTGGTACATTTAACATCTTGTCAATTAAACGAATACTTGGTCGACGGTCTGAGTTCAAAAATTTTTCGCATACGAGTCACATTATCGGTGTTTGTCGAAGTCGAAGGTCTTCCAGCACGGTCTTCATCAGCGACCTCTTCCCGCCCCTCCAAAAAGGCCTGGTGCCACCGAAACACACCACTTCTTGCTAAAGCAACACCTGGGTAAGCCTACTTGATCATATTAAACGTCTCTGTCGCAGATTTACCGAGTTTCACACAGAATTTAATCGCGTACCTCTGCTCTAACGAACGCTGCATTTTCAGCTTGCACCACTCACAGAAACACGTCGCGGGAAAATGTCTGTCCTGACTCCAAGTGCTCGGAGACAACTGACCAGCCGCTCATTCGTTAGCTAGGAACGCCCTCTAGCGAATCCAGTCGGTGCGCGCACTCTCCGAAGTACAGTCATGGCGAAATAAAATGAGTCCTATTACTTTCCGGCCAAACCCTGTAAGTAGATTTAATGGCAAATTTTCGCTACTTTTCCAACATTGCTTGGTGGTCAGGGGGCAGAGACGACTGGTGGGGAAAACAAAATGGCCGCCAGCTAGGGAAAGGATTACGTTACAACCAGTGGCGTATCATGATGATAATATTTCCGCATTCACAATGAAATAATGAACTAATCAATCTGTAGAACACGAGTCAGACACATTTTTTTTTAATTGATAAAGTTAGGTGAACAGTTCTATTTCTAAATCGGAGACCTAAAAAAATGTAGGATGGCGTAAAAATCCATAATGGATAAACATTATGATATACCAGAAAATCAAGTTTCTTATTTCAAAAAATACAAGTCGCTTAGTGTTATTTTTATTATTTATCAATTTGTCTTTTCGTTCTTTAGATAGTTACATAAATTTTGAGAGTGCTGCAAGAAAATACAGTTCTTTTGAAAATGGTCCTCCCACTTATTTTTTGAACTGGTTAAGTTAGCAGGTTGAAATTCGGGTTGTTAAAATTGATGTAAAAATGGTGGATGAAAACTTCCAAGATAGCACCTAGACGCCATTTTGGGAAATTTTTCTGATTGGCATTGGACGTCATTTTGAAGATCTATACAATCTCTCAAAGTAGCGTACTAGCAGCTGGTCATTTCTACACTGAATCGCTTAATCTGCAATTTAAAACAATGAATATCTCATTTTATTGCACATTTGGATACCTCTTATAAAAGTGGTATTAAGATAAACACTATAAGGTGTTGATGAGTAGATGTTGGGTTAAAGGCGGCTCAACGTTCAAATGCCTATAATTTGACAGGCTGTGAGTTGTCCATTTTAAAAGGTGATAATTTCATATTCTAGAAGGTCATAAAGCATTCATAACGAGCAACAAAATGACATATTGCATTACCCTCATTCCACTTTTAAAAAATGTTCCATGATAGCGCGCAGACCCTTCTTGAAATTTTAAACAGCTATTTTTTTATTATTCCACCTATCCGAATTTTAACTTACTAGCTTGACCTGTTCAAAAAATAAGGGGAGAGGTACCTATTAGAAAGCGAAAGAAGAACACAACAAGTCATTGTTTAATTTCATGTTTTATTTTCAATTTATAATACACTCACCTTAGATTATGGAACACGTTCTTTTACATAATAATAATAAAATACCTTCATCTGGCAAGAAAATAGCTCATACAAATAATGGTTTGGATTCCAAACAGCCTAACATGCCAATGAATGCCATTGAAAATCATTAATAATATGAAATATGGTTAGGATATGAAGAATAAAGATACAATTACTAACGTTAATTAAATGAGACTCTCTATAAAAATTGGAGAAATACAAAAATTATTTGTCTAACAAAAGCTTCTTTTACTTTTTTCCTAAAATGGAAAAAAGGACAAGTATTAATCAAAGTTAGGGTACATTTTGATAGAAACTAAATGAATTATTGCAATTCTAGCACACCAATAATCTTAGATTATGAATAGATGATAACTATTTTATAGATTTTACCGATTCAAAATTTTGGATTATTGTAAACATATAATAAAAACGCTACATTAAGAGTATTTTGACTTTTGTGGTATATACATTTTTATATTCTAGAATTATTCATGCCTAAATAAAATAGTTTTGGTTAGTACACTTCGAACTCTTGTTTTTGCTGATAAGTCCATATTTTTAGCAGTTTCATGGTGAATTCTTAATTTGAAATAATGGTGGAGTATTAGTTTTACTAATTGAACTGCATGCCCATCTACAGGATCATCATCAAACAAATGGTGCTCAAAATGGCTTAGAATTTCTGGTGGTAAAGTTTTGATCGTATTGATTTTCAATGTTTCTAATAAATTGTGAATATTTTTATTGAAAATATTTGTGGTTTTGTGGAAGAATCTAAAATATTTTTCGGCAGCGGTACATAGTTGAATTACGAATCGAGAGGCTTTTACAAGTTTACCACATTGTTTAACTCTCTGTAACGTAGAAATGACTTCGGAACTTTCTAATGCACTGCTGCATTTTGTGCAAGTGACACATTTTTTCATTGTTTTTACCACAAAACCAGAAATAATATATCCTACAACCTTTTCGCTATAGTCAGTCAAGTCCCAAGCAGATGAAGATGATATGTATGTCGATATATTATTTTTGACGTCTTGTTCAAAGTCTAAATACTGTTTGCTGTCTGTCAAATCATCTCCACTATCTGTAGCAGTAATTTCTCGCCCACTACCACACGACAAAATTGTTACACTATTCCCATCTGAAATATTTCCTGAACTTGGACCGGTTATTTCAGTATGGACGAGTAATCTTTTGTAGGCTGCTTCAAAGTGCCTTGCACTTGGGTTATTATTATATCCCCCTTTCCCTCTTATTGCACCGAAAAAAAGTTCCAAGTGGTCTTGTGATAATTTATTCGTCAATATGAATTTTAATTTGTGTTCTAAAATATATACATTATATAGACCCTTCAAACTGGTAATACAAATAAGAAATCCTAAAAAGCCAGTCTTTCTAGCCGACTGAATGATTGGAATGCTTCCTAACTTTAAATTTTTTATGTAACTGCTTAATTCATCAAAAAAACTAAAAAATTGTTCAGCCGTTGCTGGTGATAGTGGTCTTTTAAATTGATATTTGGCCAATTTATTTCTGGAATTGAATATATCAAATACATCGTTGAATTTTTTGATGAAAATAGCTGTGGCCTCTGCATTTTGAAAAGCTGGAAGCTTAAGATCCTTACATAAATATGATAGAGCGTCTGCTACACTTTTACTCAGCGTTTGGGTAGCTATTTTCACTTTCATTTTTCCTCTAACAAACTGCAGATGGCGAACAGTAATTTTAGTGCCTAAGTGCAAGCCTTCACTATATTGTGTATCTACCAGTTTGCTTAAAAAATTCCAGTCTATTTGATTTCCATCTTGATCAATTAAATATTTTTGAGACCCAAACGTGTTTCGCACTAATTTGATCATGTGAGATGGGTCTAGAATTATAAACACATCGCTACCAGTCACAGGATGGGTGAAGCAGGTTTTCATAATACTGACATCAAAATTAGCTCCTAGATGAGAAGCCATAGTAAAATTAACTGGCGCACCATCAAATGTTAGTGACGTCACTATAACACCAGATTCGTGAATAAAAGACAGACATTTTTTGACAATCTCAGCCTTTTCTTTTCCACTAAGACCATCTAAAAAGAAATAGCCTACTGGTATTTTCCATGAGCCGTTCAAACAAACAAGCATGAATACCAAAGCTTCTTTTGCTTCAGGTAAAATGTCCGAGTCGATCTTTGAGCCAATATCTATATACCCAGAGAATTTACTGCCTGTCCATTCCACCTGGCGACGGATGGACATCTCATCTAAGACCAAATTGCAGTAGACTGCCTTACCTTGTGACAAAGCGTATTCATGTTTTATTTTCAAAGCCTGCAGTGCTTCTTAGGTGAAGCCTGGGGAACCATCAACCGATCTATACCATTTACTGATAGTGCTTAGATGAGGCAGTGATTTATTGAACGTGTACTGACAAAATTATAAGCTCTAGGCGAATAAAAAGATAAAGTTAATGCAAAAGTCCTTGTTGAAGGGTCATACTTCTGTGATGATGGCCCTCGTAACATTCTCTCAAAAATTTTAAGAGATGAGCCGGATAACGATACCTGAAACAGACTTATTTTAGATATCGAATATGTGTGTAGCATAGTTAAAATTATTACCCTCAAAACATTTTCAGATGAGTCACTTATGTAAGATTTTTTCTTTAAAACACTAATAAGGCTATTTAGTGTCCTTACTCTCTTCCTGAGTGAGTCAACTGTGACTGGAAGTCCATGAATTCTTTTTCTCTGGGCCTGTATTACATTTTTCATTATGCAAAAGTTTCTTTTTGCTCTTACAGGTGAGGAGAAATCATCACTCGACATATCACCAACATAACGGCTCTTCCTAAAAGAATAAAATAATATGATATCGATAACAATTTTAATTTCAGATAAAATTCAGTTCAACATGACATCAAAGAGGAGGCGATACACATTTAAAATCTGATTTTTGATTCTGGCTTTCCTTTTGTCCATTGTCCGCTGATCGACTCTTATGATATACAAATGTCGGTTAGAAAGCAATCCATTAACAATGTTATTACTGAGCCCAAAATGGTTTTAAAATATCTGGTAGTAGTGTTTATTTTAAAAATCTAAAAAAGACTTTACCTCTTTCTCTTCAGTCCTGCAACTGGTTTCGTGTGAAAATCAGATGTAAGGGCAGGCATTGCTACAGAGTCCAACTGTTCTTCAGCCTCTGATGCAGTAGTCGTATCTGATGAACTTGAATTAGCAACTGCTGGATAAGATGGTAGCTCTCTAGATGGTCCCGGGTACACATTTTCATGTTCTAACCTTCAAAAAGATATTTGCTGTTAATATTTTTCTTAGTCATTTAAAATGCAAAAGAATATAGTGATATGATACAAAATTGCTAATACGAATAGATAAAAAATATTTATTACCTGTGCTTTTCTTGAATCTGTAGCTGTTCTTTGGTCTCTGTAGCTGTATCGGATTTCACATCAGCAACAATGTCTTCAAATCTCAAGCTTCAAAAGAAATACATGTATATGTAATGGATATCAATCATTGATAAAATCCATTGATGCCTCATTCCATCGACATACAGCCATTGATGCATCAATACATCAACATATAACCATCGATGCATCAATACATTGACATATAACCATCAATGCCAAAACATCAATATTCTATGATCCATGTATTGTTGTCATCCCTAAATATTAAAAATACCTAAACATATACTAACCGTTTTACAACAGGGCCACCATCTGCTGAAGTGGCGGTAATACCCAGAATGTCAATTTCTGAATGAGGTTCTGAGCTTGAGGAAACTCCTATTTGTTCCTTGCCAGGACTACTAAAAGAGCTGAGACTAAGCGATGACTCTGAACTAAAATAAATAAATATAATTTAATCATATATCCACATAATATCAGGTAGATAATTATTAATTATGTGCTCCTTAAATGATAGCTGATACATAACTAATAAAAAAATAATATGCATCTACATATGTATCAGCAAGGTGAAATTTTAAATACAAGGGCGTCTCCAGAAAAGTATATTTTCATAAAATGCAACCACATAACTAGAGCAAAGTGAAATGTTTTTGTTGCCCCAATTTTTGGTTGTGATATCATGCTTAAGCTATCATTTTTACCCCTAATTACTATTATTATATTACCTGGCGCTCTTTGTGAGATCAAAGGCAGGATGCACAGCAGTTGGAACAGCATCACATTTGAGATGCCTAGCTCCATCAGGCATAATTACAAAATCACTTTTCTGAAAGTGTTTGGAACAGACGTAAGCATACTTTGGGAACTGGTGGTCTTTCTCAAATCCCAGAAGAGATACCCAAACATCTTCTTGTAGGTTCATTAGGCATCCTAAAAGATTACGGAAGTGCTTTAAAATGCTCATTCATTGTAAAAACATTAAACTACCGGATATCGAGAATGCGTCCCCACGCCACTGGACTTTCTAACACAACATTTTTATTTTCACTTACCGATGAAAAGATAAGCCTTCTGCTTCACGCTGACGAGTGTATATCTTGCAAACACAGCACTGGCGCACCATGATCGATATCAAATAATAGTTTTGGATAGTTTAAATGCACTAAAACACAATTCGCAAAACGACGCACAAACCGGTACAAACTCAAAATATGAATGAAGTCAGGTAGTAAGGATCGTAGTAAAGATTGACCTGCGTTACCAAATTGCGCACATATTCTTTGACGTAGGTACATTATTCTTAGAACTATTTATGATATTCGGACAAAAACTGTTCTAGATTTATAGTCGCCGTCCCAGAGTTATGATTTCAAGACACATACATTTTGTCTGAAGTCATTTTTATATGCTAAAATATCATATAATATCTTTGAACTACGACAACAATCGTTTGCTTGGTTTACCTTCCTGTGAAATCCGGCAACTATGTAAAATACAATAAGGACAACATTCGAATGTTGGAAATTACAAATTTTGTAAACAGATAGGTCTATCTCTCTTTATAGTCGGTGGTGCAGCCTACAAAAATAGTGATTTTAAATTTTAATGCCCTGGAATATACAAAAGCAAGCTTATATTTAGTTTAAACTTGTTCTTTAAACTCGAAAGTTAGAAATATTGATTCTCAATGGACTGCGTCACTTGTCACGATCGTTGGATATAGTATGATTTGTGATTATGTCACATATCTTAAGATTCAAAGGTTACAATAAAACAAGTAGATTCGAAAAAAATACAATCAACCCGAACCAAAAAAATGAAGATTTTATTGTGCTATCAAAACGAATCTAACGACACCTCGTATATGTCAAAATTGTTAAAGCCGTTTGGGCTGTAGTCTGTGACATATAGAATTTTTTTATCTAGGTACATAGTTACACATACTCACGCACAAAAAATATGACCTTGCTTCTGAGGTAGTCGTTAGTTATAGCTAAATATAACTTAAATATTAATTTCTTGTTATCTTATGTTTTCATTTTAGAGTTGTACCTACTTTCTGCAATTCTGATCCCACAATGTCTCATAATTTCCCCCAAGCGCCTACGCGTGCATAACGTTATTATACTGTCCAACGTACTTTGAGGTGTTCAGCCCCCTCCTACCTATTTGTTAACGGCTGGTGCCCCTGTTTGCATCATGACTTCCCGCTCTGCTGTTAACTATCAATTAGTCACCCTCTGCACAGCAGAAAGCCGAGCCACCCTTCAACTTTAAATATATAAACACTCCCTCCCTGCTACTACTCATCCTTAATGTCTTTTTCCTACCTCTATGTATAGTATACTTTGATTCACGGAGCATTACGCTCACGTTCAACTTAGTAGGTTTAAGACGACTTGAGCTACTGATGGATGAATATAAACAAAAGCCAAATAAGTAAAGAAAGGGATGTATCAATGCACATTTTCAGGTCTAGAATGTGGTAATAATTTCTAAGAGCATAAGTTAAAACGTAAAACATACAATATGGTGGAAATTTTGGAAACTTTACCACTGCCACAGACTAAATTGTAATTTAGGAATCCATTATAAGATTGGAGGTATTTTCGAGGTAAGTGCTTTTCTCTTAATTGAAACTCAATGTACGAATTGAAGTTAATCGCTGTAATTTCGCGGGTGCATTCATCAGCCGCTTTAGCGACTGTTCTATCCATGATGGTGCATTTCTGCTGAAGATGATAACTTTTAATAAAAAACTACAAACATCAAGGAAGTGCAAGGAAAATTTCTTGAAAAATACGTGAATCAAGCACCTAGGTCTAAAGTGTATAACTTTTCACTGAACTCAGATCCACAAACACGAGAAGTGCACCTATGGTTTTGTCAGTGAATACCTAGCTTGATTTGCTAAATAGTTGTTGCCATGGATAATAAGATGAGGATATTTTCAAATGGAAAGTCATGTTATGTACAACAGATGATTTTCGGCGAACTTCTCTAACCGGTTGGTACAGCGTTTTAATTTTTTCCATTTCTATGGTCTTGAAACATTCTTCTCTTGCATCAAACGGAACAGATGGTCATCATATTTTCAACATTGGTATATTGTCATCAATAGTGTTGTGAGTATAACCTGATAGGTAATCACTGTGAAAGCATTAACGATAGGAACATTGGAAAAGAATACACCGAAAGTTGAAGGAACACTTTCAGGTCTTTGGTAAAAGATTCTGGTTAATATTCGAAATTGCAGCGTTTGCGGTACGGTTTTTTCAGTTACCATCTGAATTCTGTTTCGAAACGTAATAAAAGGAGGAGTGGGGATTCATTTTACATTATTTCCATATTTGTAGCTGCGGTTGTGTATGTACAAACATCAAAGAGAGCCTGAGCAGCCGAGAACACTTGATAATAAAGTAGCCAGTGGCGGCTCGTGGCAAAATAAAACAGTTGTTCTGCAAATCCGAACTTACCTATTTTTTATATGCCAGTTCGATCCTGCGCTCCTTCTTGGCAGCAAATTTGTCGATCACCTTCCCGTTGAAGTTTTCCATGGTCGAAATAAATTCCTTTCATAGGTCATAGTATTACGAAGAAAAGTCTGGATTCTTTTTTAATGTTAACAATAATTTCTAATAGCTTTTTTGTTTCTTTTATTGTTTCCTCCATACTATTTTGTATCAAAAATTTCAAAAGAGACAGAGTTCCATGTAAATCTCGGCAATCATTCCGTGCATAAATAACAGACAACTCTGTATTTAAACGACTTTTTTCTAATTCGGGATAAGCCAAGCAGATAGTTTCCAACTTGTTATCAGGAGACTTACCACAAAGTGTTCGGGGAAAAAAGGGATGCGGCTAGAAAATGATCTTTGAAATGAAATCTGTCATTTCCAGAATTCACTATATTGTCGCATACTTCTAATGTGGCAACTGGTTGAACAAGATGTTGACGTGAGGCATGACATGATGAAAAAATGTCAACCAAAACACGAAAACAGAATCGTTTAACACACGGCCTTGCAAACAGTTTCATTAGTGAAATTTTCTTCTAGTTCTTCCATGCATTCAATGAGTGGTTCTCTGTTCTCAAACACTACATTTATTGTTCGAATATTAAAATTCCAATTTCCATCATAGCTTTGTGAAATCAGTTTGTTAAATTTTCTATTAATGGATCTACGACGCTCAAAATATGTCTTGTGAGAGTATCAGCGTCGCATTTTTCGGGATTCATATAATTCCAAAAACATTCTACTGGTTCACCGTTAAATACGTATCTTGAAAATTGCTACCAGTTGGGTTTTCCCCGAAATGTCCGTAGTTTCATCTGCTATTATTGCCAAATAGGAGGCTCTGTTAATCTGTTTTATTATTTCTTCAAGACAAACTTCAAGAATACTATCCAGTAGATCGTTTTGTATTTCTTTCGAAGTTCCTTTAAATATTGAAGCATTTTTTATGTGTTCGCTTAAGATTGTATCAAGCTCAGCAGAAAAATTAATCAGTCCACGAAATATTCCCGGGCTTTGGAAGCTCTCGGTTTCGTTGTGGCCCCGTAGCGCCAATTCAAATGCTCCGCAAAATTTTATACCGAGCACCGACCGACCAATCAGATATCGTATTTCGCATTACATCTGTACGGATCTGTATAACGTGCAGCACGTGCTTGTGCTTAAATCGCCCATTTGATTTTGTAGAGAGAGACAAAAGCAAGCGCGTGCGGCTTGTGTCGTAGTAGTGCACAGACCCTTTTCAAGTGGCCCATGAATAATGTTACGCTGCGGTCGCGACGAAAATGGCAAGTACACAATTGGTCGATTATACTGCTTTCTCAATACAAAACAGACTCGACGCCGTATCTTGCGGGGGCAGCGTTGCTGGTATTGTTTCTATTTGTGTGATACCATGGAAAATAAATGATGATCATATTACTACTGCTTTTTTCTGTTAAGACAAAAGTTTTAGCAGTTCTGCAACTCTGCAGAACTTAAGGGCCAAGCCGCCCCTGAAAGTAGCCCAGCTTCAATTGACGCAGACAGCATTAGCAAGCTCCGTGCTGCCATACTGGGCCGCGTTCGTAAATTCGTTACAGAGTATACTTTGTACTACTCTGTAAGAATTTAAGGGTTCGTAATTGTTTGACGTACCTGTTACATGCGTTCGGAAGTAGAACAAAGTAATCCTTCTGGAACGTCAAAATTGTGCTTTTCTTCCCGAGCTCAAAACCTTGGAAACAAGAGTTCTGTCACTTATCATCCTCATGGTACGTTGTTTGTTTATTTCATTTGCTTATCAAAAACTGCTCAAAATTGGCAGAATATATATTTTTCATGATAAATGCTATCTCATATCCCTAGGGTCTCTTATAATAACTACAAATTAGTCGGCTGTCATCAAGTGTCATTGCATGACTCTGTAATAATTTAGACGTTTTAAAATACAAGTTTTACAGTATTCCAGAGTAAAATTTCATCTATCAATCTACATTCCATTACTGTGTACGGTATTACATTGCCAAGTGATTTACAAACGCACCCCTGACTGTCGCTACTCGCGCTCCAAACACTCAATATTCTTAATACAATCTCACTACATATGTTGTTTTCGGGGTATGTAATAAAATGTTCGTGGTATTTTGTATTATAGGATATACCACCAAGAAACCGTATGCTTTAATGTATTTTTAAAAATTATGTAAGAATCGTATAGAAAAGGCGAACATTTTGGAAAAAAATCATATTTAGGAAGGTGCTACCCCGATGACTGTGATTTAATTACAACTTATTCATACCCTCTATAAATTTCCGATGATCCATATTAGGTATAATTTTCATGAATTGTTCGTCAAAAATTCGAGTTTTCGGAAGGCGATGCGCGACGTTAGAAGTTGGTACGCCTGAGAGTTTGCATTTGTTTTGTAAAGTGGCTTCATAATGAGTTTTACGGCAGCTCTCTCTCTCTCTCTCTCTCTCTCTGTTTGTATTACAAACTTGAACTTAATATAAAAAAGTTTCTCTATTACGATCACGAATCTGTGAAATGGGACATTGAAGCTGTGTAAGCGTCTGTAGTACAAAGGAAAACTATAAAAGTTTTGCAATACGACTTAACAAACGGACGCAGGAGGCTGCATGTTACTGCATGT